GGTGGTGGTTGTGTGGTGGTGGTGCTGCTTCCTCTGCCTCTGCTGCGGTTACTGTTGTGGCAATCTTGCCTTCCAAAGAAAATAATGGGTGATTGATCATGATAAGCGTCATGACTTAGTAATAATGACGACGAGGAGCAGGGTGAGGTTGAGGACTGGGTTTCCGATGGCGATTGAGCTGGCAGACTCGAAAACTCTTTAGATTGCTGCTGGTCAGTCTATGGTAGAGCTCGGGCTTCGGGTGGCTTACGGCGTCTTCGCAAGTCTTCGCCGTCTCGAGTTTTCGTCGATGTTGAACTCAACGACATTTTGCGCTATTGGATGTCTCATGCTTTAGTACAGGGAAGGTCGTTACTTGACTTACACCTGCAGGGTGCGGAGATTTCGAGCCAAAAATCACCTTTAGCGTCAAACCTGTCATGGGCTTGTTTGCCACGCCTTTTTGGATGTGATACGGCCATTTTGTTGCTCGCTTTATCTCTTTGATCTCTTCGTCAGTCGCTCTGTGTCTCCGTCTGTTTCTTTCTATCAGCATCTTTCCAGGCTTGCGGGCTTTAGGGTTTGAGTTGCAGGGGTGTTGCTTTTCGTTTGCAGGTGGGTGGTCGTATGTTGTTTGTTTAAGTCTAGGGTTTCAATGTTTGCGGCTGTGGTCTTGGGGTTGAGGCTGGGGGCCAGGGGGGGTTTGGGCTGCAGGTTTATGGGTTTGGGGTTTAATGTTATACTAAAGTGATCCAAGTCCGCGATATTCCGCGATTGATGCCTAGCTCTGCAGTGCTACATGCCCGAAGCCCAAAGAAGACTCCTGCGTGCGGAAGTCAATGACCCGTTGCAGGCATATCCAGGTTCCGCAGCTCCCGTTTACTTACGCCTGGAGCCTGGGTGGGAAGACGTGCAGAGACCATACCCATACTCATACTCATACTATACTATGCTATAGACCATACCGTAAAAAATACTGGACTGTTTATACATTGTAGTATACTCTGTGATGCAAAACTGGGGCTAGGCGCGGGTGGAGCGCAGGCATCGAGTCTTTTGGGATTGGGAGCGAAGCCAAGAAAGAGTCTGTTTCACCGACTTCAGAGGTCTGCACTATCCGCCTGCGACCACGGGGACCGCTTGGTATGGTTGCTGCGGAAAGTAATGTTTCCTGGGTTTTTGGGCTGATGCCGGCGCAGAAGTCCTGAACTTGCAAGCCCTCGGGACCTGTCTTCCGTGAATCAAGACCCTGGGCTGGTGGTACAGAGCCTACAGCCCACGCACCTGCCTACGAAGCTCATGTCTGAAGTGCCGGAGATGATAGCGGTCGTTAGTAGAGTCGTCGTAGTACCACCACTTGCAGTAGAAGCTCTGAGGGACAAATTCCAGTATTACCCTGAGCACCTTAAACTATGGGAAGTACGGACCAGGAAGCGGGTTTTCGATAGTCTCACGCGATGCATAATCAGCCGGAGTCATGTAGTTTGGAACCGGAACCCTTGAACAGGCGCGTTTAAGGATCACATGCGTGTTGAACTCCAATGAGGTCAGCCCTCCGGTACCCCGTGGCCGTGCTGCCTCCGCCTCGCCACCGCGCCGGATGCTGAGAAGAAGGACATGTCATTGCTAGCAATAGCCAGACTAGCATTGCCTTTGCCAAGAACCGTAGCAGCATCAGAATGGGCGACAGCATTGGACTAGTAGGGGTTGCAATGAACAGCAACAGCAGCAACCAACATGCAAGGAAGACCTAGACCTAGAACAACGGCAGCAACACGCAAGAACGCACAACAACACTTAACATCAGACAAGAGCATACAACGATAATCGCCGTCATTTCTATTCTTTCTGCTGGTGCTATGGCATAGACAAGCTGTTCCAACTGTAATACTGATACAGGTTGGCATCGCATGCATGCCCGCTGTTCCAGCCTTGATGGGGGGTTTCGGAATGACTAAACAGCACAAAGTCCGTGCGCTCTGCTCCTCTTGCAGCAATGGCAAAGCGCGATACCGCTAACCCTCCACCTCTAACCTTCAAGCATGTGGGAGTTTCCGAAAATAGGGGGCCCTAATATAATACCCTAAACAACAGGATCCTTATTATGTGGACCCCAAAATAAGGTACCCCAAATTTTCAGAAACTCCGATGTAATCCTTCCAACCAGCCGAAATTTGAATCAAGGCCTGGCTCAGCCCACACTTACGCCAGTCTTGGGCACGAGGTCGCTGTTTTCGCGTTTAGGGTTTAGGTGTGTTTAGTTTTGTATCCAATGGTCAGGGTACTGTTTTGAGATCTTCCCCAGGCCCGTGGGTGGTGTTGGATTTTGCTCTTTTCTGCTCTGATCGCTTTGAGTCTGATCGTTTTAGGACTTCATGCTTTTGCTGGCAAGTTTATCTGGTTTCTGATGCTAATTGTGTTGTCGGTTTCGTTATGTGTTTCTGGCTGCTGGTGTTCCTGCAGGGTCGTTCTGCGGAATATATAGATCATTGTATCCTATTTGTAATTGCTGCTGTTGCTAGTTTTATTGTTATTGTGATGATGGTGGTGTGTTGCCGTCGTCGTTTTCGCGTATGACCTGCTCCGGAATATTGGCAGTTCTTTGCTATCCATGGGAACTGAGACGGAAATAAGCAAACATAAAAAGAACAATAATCATGGAAACCACACGAGAGCCATTATGAAAACAGATAAACGCTTCAAGAAGCCTAGAGAAGAAAATCTAAATTCAAATAGAAAATGACAGTGATCCGTAAGTGCATTACAAGAGACTTCCGCCTTCCTTGCTAGGCTTCGGTTGAGGGTTGGCACCTGTTATCCTTGTTTTCATGAGCTTCTACTTCTCATGCCACCCAGAGATCCAGCACTCCAGTACCATCTCGACCTTGTCATCTCCGCCACCATCGTTACTGGTAGCATCATGAAATGTCACTTTTACCAACATCAGTGTCAACGTGCTCACCTTTCACATCCTTGCCTTCCTGATTGCGCCATCGCCATCGATCTCGTCATCACCGTCTTCGCTGTCGCCACTGACCAAAGACTGCAGCAACTGGAGATTGAAAGGTTTGTAAAAATTCTTTGCTGCAAGAGTGCTCTTGTTTTTGTCGAGGGATCTTTTGTATTTACTTGTTTACGGCTCCGTGGCACACTGGGTGCCAGGTGATGCCGCCTGGACCCCTGCGCTGCGGGCTCAGTGATTGTCCTTTTTCTCTCTCTTTCCCTCCTTCCCTCCCTCTGTGGCTGGCTGGCTGGCTCAAGGTCTACATCTGCCACACCAAACTAGACCAAGACGAATCAAACCACTTGAAAGTCAAAACTCCGGACACATCTTAATGCCCTTGTCTGTTAGAAGACCTTCTCGAACAGAAGATCCCGTGCAACGGCAAACCGTGTATAATCGTAGAAGAGCAGCCAAGACTTCTTAAACACCTAAACATAGTGTGCTCGTATATATATGCTCAGACCACTGTATATATAGTTGTCGCATGTATGCACAGTATATACAACACGCACACACGCGCGCGCGTATAGACAAAGCCATGCACATGCACACATACATACATACATACATACATACTTATGTACATGCGTGCATACGCATGCATACATGCGTGCTGTGGTATCGTTAAGTCTCTTGCAGAGTCATTACATGTAGAGGTTCTTCGGACAAGCCAAGCAAAGTCAAGACAAGCCGGGTCATATGACATAAGAAGTCTTAAATGCATTGTCCAGCAAAGCCCTGTCGATTACAGGGTTTGGTAGGGATGTAGAAGTTCTAGTAGAGCTTGACAGGCGCTTTTGTAAGGGTCAGGCTTTTGCGATGCTGGCAAGGCAGGAGGAGTTTCAAGTAAGAATGAATGATGTTTTTTTATATTTCAACTCCCACAGCCAGAAGGGAAGTTTTGAAGAGTTTTGGGGGGTTTTGCCATGAAGCTGCATGGGCAGACATCGATCATCTCAGTGTTGTAAGACAACCTGCGCATAAGCCCTCCGTAATTAAAGTCATGCAGCGTTGCTTCAAACAGGCGGCTAGCAGTTTCGGAATACGATTCTGGCCGTCAGGTAGTCTGCTTGAATGTAGCCTTGTCAGCAGTCAGAGCTCGTTGTAGGGAGCTTAGCGGCTCAGCAGAGGCTATCGCTACACGCTCCTACCTTACTAGCCTTCAGGTTCTAAGCTTCCCAAACCCTAAGACTCTCATGCCTGGTTTCCAGCATGTAGGATTTCGAATTTTGGGGCTTTGAGTTCAGTTTGCAGTTTGCGGTTCAAGCGTCCCAGGTCGTTGGGCGGTCTCCCGCACTGACCCGCGACTCGTGTATATAGATCGCAGCCGGCGCGGCTGAGTCTTCTATCCCCAGAGAGGAAGGAGCCCTGAACCCTAAACCCTGCGCGCCTTAACTAAGACGCCATCTTGACCGAAAAACAACTACGCTGAGCCGCAGATCGTGACCTCTCAAGCATAATCCCAAACTGGGTATGGGTTCGTGGGGACTCCCTCGGACCACAATAGTTTCACCACTCTTCTTTGTGGATGTGAGCTGAGGCGACGCGAAGCCTGGATAATCATCCAAGACACGAGAAGGGGAACCCCAAACCCCAGGAATAATTAGTAATGGCATCCAAGTGTAGTCCTTTCAAGACTTGTATCATAGTAAACCCCCAGATGCTATTCCAACATTTCAGGCCCAGTTTTCACACACGACAATTGGGGCTCCTGGGAGTACGAGGGTCAGAAGTCAATCCGAGAGCAAGTATTGCGCTTTAGGGTCAGCTTTATGTCCTGACATCATGCACACCAAACCGTCAACCCTAAACCGGTGAAGGCATCCGAGATCAAAGGCTGCAACGCAAAGCCCCGACGCCTAAATCCTAACTCCCAAGCCCCAAATCCTCAAAAAGAAGCCTTAAGCCTTAAGCCCCGAGCCCCAGACCCTCAAACATTAAGCCTAAACCCTACACCCTAGCTGGCCCTCCGCTACTAAGCTAAGTCTTGGTAGTTGCACACAGTATCAACGGTGTGATGGACGAGTTACTCAAGGAATTCGGTGCAAGCTTTTCCACACCTGCCACTAGACTCTTCGATGACGCCGAAGGTGGATCGAATGCAGCGGTGCCAGATGTGGGGTTCAAACTGTTTGGTGAATCAGTGGCTGGTGCATCGACTCTTGCAGGCGGTGCAGACACTGCGTTTGACACTTGGAGAGATGATCCCACCGTCAAGACTCGTGACCAGGCAATGACACCATTACAGATTGAGCTAAGACAGTTCGGGGCGGAGATAAACATCAGGGCTTCAGCAGGGGTTGATGCAGGCGGAAACCAGGTGATGGGCTGCGCTGGGGACCTCCCAGCAGGCATGCTCGGACCAGGAGCTGCAGGAATCGCAGGAAACGTGACTCCTTATGCAACCACAGCAGGCTGGAAACCTGTACCACTTCTCCCTGAATTTCAGATACACGACAGTATGACAGGCAGGGAAGTACGAGGCCTGGCTGTCGCTTCAGCCCGCTATTATGGCGGAATCACAGCAGACAATTGCCAAAGCCAGATCACTGTGCCATGGAACAGGACGAAACACAGGACAACGAATTTGACGAGCATTTTCCACAGCCTTCACAGGTTCATGATTGCGCGACTCCAAGCCGAAACACTCGGTTGGACAGCAAACTGGATCTCGCCAGCCAATGTCAGCATGGGTATTCCCACCAATCTGGTGAACATTCGAGCTGGTGCCGTGGGCGCAGGTGTTCTGGCACAGTTAGGAAACGGAGCGGATATTCAGTTCAACACGGTTGAACTTACAAACCGTGAACGGGTCCTATTGGTATGCACTATTGTTGGATTCGCCGGCGTCTATCATGATAATGTGGCAGGACCGAACGGTGCGATCTGCACTGAAATCGTTCCTGCATGTACACAATTGACGCCCGGTGTGAATTCAATCACGCTATTCACCGATGGACTCGCAGGTGCTGTGGGCAATCTTCAAGCGGCGCCACCAACTTATGAAGAGCTTGCTGCATTTGTTCGCAAGCTAGCTCTGCTACGACCAGGGAAGCTGGCGTATGCTACTGGCAAAGCGATGGCAGCAGCGTCTGGTATGGCGGTCAATATGACACACACTCCGGGCGTGGACCAAGGGATGGTGAATCAGGCTGCAGGGAATGTAGCAGCAGTTCACATCCCAAACTTTGGAGCAGCTCATCATGATGTGATTGGCAGCACAGCAGGTGGAGCAAGGATGCAACTCTTCATACCACGACTCTACACACCTGCTGAGTATTTCAATGAGATGCAGACACCAGCACCAGCTGGTGACTACAGCATCGGAGCTGCTGATCTGGTCCAGTTCGAAGGCTCAGGTAATGACGGAGGTCATGCCCAGCAGCAACCAGAAGGTGGTGATCCCAAAGGTATAGTAGAAGATGACAAAGGCGACACGACCAAGTTGTCATATCAGGCAGCACTCGCGTCACAGTATGGCTTTGTTGATGAAGTGAACAGTTCATTCTACTTCATCACTCAGCTTGTGATTGCGGAGATTGTGGCATACACTGTCACGACGGCTAATGCTGATCAAGGATTGAGTGCGAGATTCTGGAACAACAATCTCGTACCTGGAGCAGCACAGCCATCATTGGACAGAGCAATGATGTTGAGAGTGGATACTGATACAGTAGCTCCACTGGACGGATTTGCTCAAAGTGTACGACGCATTGCTCCCGCTATATTGCGAGTAAAGCTTCCAAAGTTCGTTGTTGCCATGACCAGATGCTCAACAGAACTGGCAGGCGATCGGGGATTTTTCGCATACCTCAGGTATTCTGGAAGGATCTATGGAACTGAACAATTGGCTGAGGCTGGTCGCTTGGCAAAATATCTTTACAGGGTGCCATATTAATTATGAGGCATTGCAAGGCTTGAGCTCGGTGCAGAAACCACCTGAAGACTTTGATACAGCAAGAGTCTTAGGAATGTCTGTTGGTTTTCCAGGAGATATCGTACTGACTCCAGTTGTGAAAGGTCTGGAGAAAGGCGGCCCAAAAGCTTTGGTGGGCATGCTGCCTAACTTCAGCAAGGAGGGAGCTCGCTTTGGGTACAGGACTGCACTCTTGCTCGCACAGGGCCAGCCCAACAACTGGACACTGAGCATCCCTGGATCGGGTCATGCAACAATACAGCTGCAGAATGCGTTGGCGATTCCCAACGCAATGTTCGCAGTGAGAGCAGCTGGAAATGCTCTCGCTGATTCAACAGATCCGTTCTCAGTCTTACCAGTGCAACGGTGGGCATCACGAAGCTATGTTGCCTTCGGGAAAGGGCCGGCGAATTTGACACCAGCTCTGAGGCGTCAGTTTACGATGGCTGTGGATGGCAAGAACATCTTCGGCTATGCTGGCTACCACTTTGAAGGTCATGATGAGTGACAAATCGGGCAGGAGCCCACGCCTGGGGAGAGCATCGACAGGCTCTTCAACAGGTTCAGCGATTGCTTGTCAGTTGCTGAACTTCGTGAGGCCGGGGTTGCCTGCCTATCAGGTTGCTTTGAAAATGACTCATGGATCTTTGATCCGCCTGGTGCTGTTGGAATCGATGGTTACAAAGAGGCTCTCAGAATGCACAGCCTTGGCATTGTGTCGGGTAAAGATGTGGTCAAGTTGCAGGATCACATTTGCCCAGAATTCTCAAGCAGGCAGAGCAATGTGGCTGACATTTTCATCAGTGAAATTTGTTCACTTGATGCGACGATTGGCCATTTTACACACGTGCCGAAGAAGATGCCTCAGACAAGGCGGAAAGAGGATGAGAATGGCAAGAGAAAACAGCTGAACAAGAGACAGAGAATGAAGCTGTGCCTTGAGGCTAGCAAATCTGAGAAGAGTATGGATGATGGTGACACAAGCACCGACGCGTCAGAAACACCCACAGTTTCACCTGGCACAGTCTTTCTAGAGAGATTGGCTGTGTGCAACGACATGTGGAATGCATCAAACGGCCAAATATCACTTCTCAACAGTTCAAGCATGAGCAAGTTGGAGCAAGAGGTGTTACAACAGGGGGCCGAGAAGAGAAGAAGCATGCCACGACAGCTGAAACAAAGCTTCTTAGCAGAGTGTGATGTCTCGCGATCTATGATCAAAAGAGGTACCATTGATGAGCACTTCGTCTATGACAGGACAAGAGATCAGCATCTCAGAGTTCATGTGAGCTCAGCCATCAAAGCTGTGCAAAAGGCGATCAAAGATCGCAAAAATGCAGAGAAGCGTTGGTTCCGAGATGTAGTCTGGAAAATTGTCACTGACATGCATGGAGAGGATGCATCATGGGTTGCAGCGACGATCCTCTATTTCTGCTCTGACATCCCTGGTATTCGCATTGCTTACGAATTCTGCTGCAGAAGGAATGCTTTCCAACTTAGCAGAGAAAGTTGGTTGAGCTACTTCAAGCAGTTGACAACAGTGGTGCGCAAGTACGGCAGGATGCCAGACACATTTGAGGTACCTGACATCAACAACAGATCGTCAGTGCGAGCATTCTATGCGGTACAGTATCTGCATGTGCTTGTTGGAAGAGGTCATTTCTCTGATGAGCGTGAAGATGAAGTTGAAGAACGGTCAAAAGAAAGGCCAGAAAAACGCTCGCTGGATAGCCAACTCGAGTGGACGACTCACCAGTATGACCAAGACGCACAGACCGTCATGGAAGATCTGAGACAGAACATGGGGCACCTTGCAAGTCAAACTCACCTCTTGGACTTTGATGAGTTCTACGACGAACTGTGGTCATTGGGAACACAGGGTTTCGCAGCGCAATCAAGATTGGCGATCACTGTGAGAGAGATGAAAGCGAAAGGCAAAGCGACCAAGAGCAAACGATACATGATTCGCCTAACAAAGAAGGGGGCAATCAGCATGCTCACCAAGGACGAGATCCGTCGGAGGTTGGAAGAAGATGGTTTGTGCACGAGTACAGGTAGCCTCAAGTATGAAGAGGCTGCTGTGCGTACCCTATTCGCTGGGGATGTAATGCACTACCTGATTTCGTGTTGGGCTACGGCCAAACTCGAAAAGGCAATGTATGATTCGAACTCTCACCTCACAGATCTCGGCCTGAAGGCGATCACAGAACTGAAGTATATGCTGGGTTTGACTCACGCGATGAGGCACGGCATCTTCGGCTTTGCCTATGATTTCAAGAGTTTCAACAGCCAACACTCTCGCAAAGACATGTTGAGATATTACAATCTGCTCAGAGAGGCAGGGATGTCGAGTGATCCGAACAAGGATTGGATCCGGGCGATTGAGTGGTTGATGGAGGCAGTCTACAGCACATACATCAGAGCAGATGGGACAAAAGAGTTCCAAAAGGCTCTGAGTGGCCTGCTCTCTGGTATCCGAGCTACACAGGGTATCAACACATCTATGAATTTACATGTTCTTTCTGGCCGTGATGGCCATGGAGCAGCCCGGGGGCTCTCAACAGACACCCCTGGAATGCCCGACGTTGTCTACCTCGTCGGCGTCCCTGGCCTCTCCTGGAGACCGGGCACCGCCGGCACATTTACATGGACCTTTGATGGCAACCTCGAATTCTTCTTTCAGTGCGAGCGGAACAAGGTCGGAGCTCGCCTGCACGACCGAATTCAAACCACCCCTAAATCCGGAGTCCAACCTGCCTCCGCAGCAGACCGATCCGCCACCTGCTCTTTCACACGATCAGGGACATCATGAATCTGCTCGGCGGGAGCTCAACTCCGAGGCGACCCCGGGTTACACGACTCACCGCTTTGGGACCCCGAACATCTCCACTGGCTGCTCCTCGACTTCTTCGCCTACGGTGCCTACACGAACTGATGGAGCCTCCCGACCCACCTGGCTCACTACGGTGACGTCGCAACTCCAGAGGATGCGTGAGCGCAACCAAGGCTGGGAAACCATGTGGCTTGCTGTGCTCCGCAGAATCCTTCACAGGCAGTTACCGGAATATGCAAGGTGGGCCCGACAGCACCTGAGGCCATTTCGATCGGAGTTCTCCAGCAGGCTACACTACGAACTCTACGACCGCGGCCTCAGCCCAGAAGAAGTGTGCTGGGCTGCCCGTGTCGAATTTGCCTGCCTGCAGGATTTTCATGCAGCTACCGGACGTGCCTTGCCCTCCACCATGACTCCCATACTTAGGCACGATCAGGACTCGAGGGTGTTGTCTGAACTGGCTCCAGCGACGGCAGCAGGAACTTCCACGGACTACCCGTACGGGCTCTTCCACGCTGTATGGGTGGACCCAAGCACAGGAACATGGGGACCTCGGGGAACGTCCCCTCCCACACATGACACGACAGAGGGCACCAACCATAACGACGTCAACGAGGACACTGAGCACGACGATGCCGCCTTGATCACTGTGTCGACCGTCATGATCCTCGCTGCCCCCACCATCCAAGGGTTTGACCTACTTTGGGAGGACAGGGCCCCTCCGCCGTGGTTTGTGGACATGGCTGAGAGATTCGGGCTCGATGTGGACAGAGGCGCTCAACCCGGGAAGTTATGCATGCAGATGAGTGAACTCCTAAGTGCAACGGGCGATCTTCGCTTGGCACATGAAATGATGCCGGTGGTCAACGAGCTCTGCAAACGGTTACAGGAGTACGTGCCCGATAACACGGACCCTGTGGTACAACGAATGGGTATGCCATCCGACGAGGAGATCAACGCTCGGTTGGCCTGGGCACTGGAGGAAATCCAGCACCGTTGGTATATGCGGATTTGTCCTGTGGCCATGCGACATTGGCAGCAAGAACAGCTCTTAGAAGCCATGGGTCAAGCGATTCGAGTTCGAGAGGTCCCTCACGGATACTATGAACAAGAAGATCGCGAGCGCGAAAGACTATCCAGATCCAGATCGCCACAGAAGCGACCTCGATTGCCACAGGGGCCGTCACACACCCCTGATAACGATGCGACGGTTCTCTTCCAGTTACCGCACAACAGGGTTACCAGGTGGGAGGAGCTCATCGAGCAGCTGGGTCGCTGGTTTGATGAGGACAGGGCTGTTGGTATGGCAATATGCATGGTTCGATACCGTCTCCATCGTCGTGGCGAGGCTGAGTACACCAACTGGTCGGTCGGCCCTCTACGCTCACTCAGCTCATGGATTCCCAACAGTTCAGGGGAGGAAGCTGGCGAAACACCCGCGGATTTTTGGGAGTGGGCGGGCGAAGTTGAAGCCATTCTCCATGCCTGCTTTCGACGAGACTCTCTGCTACGAGGCGGCGAGCACCCAGGGGGAGACACGGGGCGGAAAGGGACAGGTATAGGTATGGGCGCCGACGCATCCGAGATTCAAGGACACCGCGTCGACATCAGGACCGCCTACCCCATGGGTCAACAGGGTCAGGGACAGGAACAAGGGCTAGGGCAACTGATCGAGACAGAGATCATCGAGGCGGAGATGGAGGGCACCAACGACGAGCCCTTAACACGAGTTCCACAGGAACCAGGGTCTGTAGAGATCGGACGACAGAGCCGGCATCCAGCTCGCAAGGACCAATGCCAACCAGGGCGGCAGTTGTGCTGCCAGATCTCCATGTGCCGATGCACCCGGACACAGCAGTTCATTTATGGCGACACCTGTTATTCAACCAAAGCACTTTTGGACCGGAGCTCCACGGCAACTCGCGAGTCCCCACCAACTTCTTGCCCCGCCGCATGCTTCAACAGGTGAGTGCACACCATGAGGCCATGAGTCAGCACAACCGCGTGGTGAGCACGTGCGCGCTTTTGACAGTTGTCCGCTACCTCATGAGCGAACTCAGTCAAACGTTGCAGACTGCAGAGGCGATCGCTCGCACAGGACAAACGGATGAAGTGCAGGTCACGGTGGAAGAGGAGGACGAGGAAGTCATGATGCAAACCTTCCTGTTGACGGACGGGAAGGACACCAAGGAGAACCGCTGGACCCGAGCGCTCGTACGACTCCAAAAAGAATTGCTCTCCCAACCAAAGCAAACAAGGTGGGCTAACCTTCAGTTGCTCCAGCTGGGGCTTCCTCCTCTTTTACAAGGACAGACACCAGACATATGGCGAGAACAGTTCGAAGCTTTACTGGTCTCCCTCAGGGCGGAAGAGGTCGAGGGGGACTTGGTCGGTACAGCAGACAGAGACTGGCTGGTACAATGGCAAAATGAGTTGGGGGCCTTTATTGCACAGTACCACCTCCCGCCGACCCCGATCACCATTGACACGCAATCCTCTGCCTCCGGGATCCTGGACAAAGACCTCGAACAACTTCTACAAGACGAACTGAGCGAGCAGAGATGGAGGGAGGAGCGAGACCGAGAACAAGCTGAACACGAGCAGCATTCACAAGAGGATGCCAGGTTACGGGAATGCGAACTGCGGGACTATGAGGAGGCCCGCCAACGTGAGCT